GTAGGCCTCTCAGACGGCAGCATCGCCCTTGTCAAAAACCTACTGCCATCCGCACCCAACTCTGTCGTTTCCATGGTTCGTGTTTATCCCCTAGGCGGTGCCGGATGTTCTACCGGGGTAATGTCACTGGCTTGGCACCCAGATCCACAGTACGAGAATCTGCTTGCAATTGGCAGTTCAAAAGGCCACGTTGATCTTATTGATCTAACTAAGTTCCAAAAGAATGGCCGACCAAAGCAGATCAAGCTGCCTAACGCACTGGGTGGTCCTGTTTACCGTGTTGCCTGGGGTCCTTTGCTTTTTGGTGAGTCGGACGAAAATGAAAGTTCACGAACAGAAAATCAAGAACCGGAGGACTCATCGACAGTCACTCAGGATGCGAATGTGGGTCGCATGTACGTTTATGCAGTTTGCAAGAGTTCTATCTACCTCCTTCGTTCTTCACAAAAGCCGCCTGTTATTCTGAACCAGAAGCTCTGCAAACTGCTTAGTCACTCTCAGACTGATGGCAGTTTTGCCGACATTGCCTTTCGTCTGCTTACTCACTCATCACTTCAGAGCATTTATTCATGTTTCGTCGCCCTAGGCAGTAGTAATGGAACTATCAACATTCTCGGCCTTCTTGCTGGTTCACAAAGTCGTAGAACTGCTATCCACCTCTGTAGAGTGTCAATTCACAAAAAATGTATTAATTCAATGGCCTGGTCTTTTCATTCAGACCGGGTAGTGCTGGCTGTAGGGTCTAATCATTCGTTTATAACAGTCAGCGATTTCAGTGACTTCTTTAAAAAATCGCCAGCTGAACCGGTGCAGTTAACTAATTGCTTGGCCACACTGGAAGGTCACGGCAACCGCGTAACTGGTCTGGATTGGTCAACGCATGATCCCAATCTTTTGCTCTCCTCGTCATTCGACTGCACGGCTGCCGTGTGGCGCATTACTCCCGAAGCTTCAGTAGCCATTGCCAGTTACCGATCCCATGTTTCGCGGGTGTTCGGTTGTGCATGGAACCGTCAACTTCCGGACTTGGCCATTACTGGTGAAGAATTTGGCTACCTTGCAGGATGGCGCCCATCTGAACAGCCATACAAAGCCCCGTCATCATCACGTAAAAACCGACTGGCTGTGCTTTCGCATACTCAGGACGATTCCCCTTCGCCTGAATTACAGAAGGACGTAAAGTGCTCCGAAAACACCGAAACTGCAATCCTTCCCAAACCTACCGAAGTTGACGAGGCTTCCACTACCTCAAATCAAGCTAAGGGAAAACGCGGGACTAGCCTAAAGCAGTTGCCTCTTTTTCCGAGTCTCTTTGCCAGTTCGGTCACCACAGACTGCTCAATGTTGGCTCTCAAAAATCTCCCGCCTGTTGCGGTTGAATGGAAGATGTCGATGCTAATGGCATTTGTAAAGTGCCGTCTAGGCTTATCTGCGCCCTCTCTTCCCGAGTTTGACCTCCTTCTACAGTCGACCTCTTCGCGTAAAAATCTTGTACGTCACGTGGAACGCGAAGTACAGTCACATCTTGAACTGGCCTCCGGGGCAAACCGTCCACGTCGTCTAGATGCCTACTTCTGCCTCCTTCTCTGGCTGGGGAGAGCAGATCATGCAGCGAAAGCCTGCTTTGGGCTGCAGCATTCACCTTTTTGGCTGATGTGGGCTCTTGAATTGATGTTAAAGGGTGGTCGACCGCGGCCATTGGCAGGATCCTCCCTACTCGATTCTGGGGAATGCACAGCTATACCGGAGGACGACTTTCTACAACAGAAGGTGAGCAGAAGTTTATAAATGAAGTGCCTTTCACATCGATTTATTTATGGCAATCATGTTAATGTTATCAGTGAGGAGATAAATGTTTACACAATCAGTATTCAGGTAGTTAGCAGCTGTCAGTCCTGGGTCAGTGCTGATTCATTAGCCTCCTACATATGCATAGTTTATTTCATACATTTTTACTACGTCTTCGTAGTCCAATTTGTATCATATAGGGATCACAGGTACTGTTACCGCGACGTTTCGCTGTAGGAGTTTTGCGCAATTTGTTTGGATAATATGATTGCACCATACACACAGTCATTGGCTGTCTTACTTTCTCATGCGCAGACGGCGCCGGCTCGTTCACGACGCCCTAATCGTGAGTGTGCGGCGCGCGCTCTGTGGTAATCTGCTCCTTCCATTCTATATTTTCTCTGTCAGAATCATTTTGAAATGTTTTGGGCACGAATTTCTTCGTACAATTCGGAAACTTGTATGGGAGAACTGAACTAGGAGTAGAAAACCTCGCCTTAGAATTCCACGCAGTCCATTAATGGATGACTGTAAGAGTGAATCGTCAATTGGCATCTTGTAGGAAGTTGATTTCAGACACCAAGCTCTAAACAGCATTCGAAAATGACCTCTTTTGACTGAATAACCATAGTTTCGTAGACAGCACCATAATCAACAACGAATCGCCGGCGTACGTTGATATACGAAATCGAGTACGTGGATGTGCTTTGCGGCCAATTTTTGCCCACTGTCATTTACGCAGCGTCCCAGAACTTATCGGATCCGTTATGCCGGAGTGTCCTGCAGATTCCGAAGCACTTCTGGGAGCATCATATGCCCTCTAAGTAGGCCCTATGGATATTGGACTACAAAAGCAAAGACAGCCACTGATAGGTAGGGAAGGAGTTGCTTCGCAAAACAAAGAGATAATCGTCAATTTGGTTATAGACGGTCTATTAATGTACCGTAAATCGAAAAAGGGCCGATTGCAGATTTTAGATTGCGCCACACAGCCCTTCATCAGTCTCTTTTCATTAGAAGTTTACTGAGGAAACGAAAAGCCACAAAGGTTTCAACCCTCAATAAAGAGTAGACGCCGTTGATCATGCAATATTTCGACATATGCGAAAGACTAATACTCGTGTAGTCTATTCTA